CCCCAAAACCCCAAAACCCCAAAACCCCAAAACCCCTAAAATTACAAAAATTATTGAATTTATTATGAAGAGCCTACAAAACACTGAGAGAGACCTTATGTAAGTCCTTTCTGCAACTTGTTAGTAATTCCTGGCTTAGACCGCGTCAGATGTTTGCATCAAGTGCCACTGAGGAGTTCATCCGCGCTCAGATGGAGAGAAAGAACAAAGCAAGAGAATTGAGAATGAGTCAAAATTTCAGCCTTCCTTCAAACCTTATTGATTGTGAAAGTGAGAAATAGAGTTATACCGTTCTATGGTAAGTGTTTTTAGATATTTTATAAGAGATTTATCAAGGGAATGCTGATAAGAGGTGAATTAAAAGACTTATCACCTCAAGAAGGAGGAGATCAGTAGCTGTCCCACTCGGAATGCCAGAAAAATAGAGCCAGTATTATCCCGAGTGCTTATAAGAATCAGACCCGAAACTTGTACAAAGAAATAGGTATCAGTGATATCAAGCAAAGTGCAAAAGATATGGAGAAGAAGTTATCTGGGATCAAAAAACGGATAAGTATGTTCTTTCATTTTGATTCAAAAAATTTCTGATCAATCTCATAGATAGCTTACGCTCAAGAGGCAAGGCCCAGTATCTCTCTAAGACTAAATAAAGTATGTCGCCTCTTCACCTCTTTAGGAGCTGTACAAGGATGCGTATGAAAAAGTTAAATAACAACAAGTATTTTAGGATTTTTATTCTTTAGATATAAATATGAAATTGATCTCAGAACTCGATATAATAGAATGATGCTACAGAAGTTGAAAGAGATCAAAACTTCTCCGCATGAAGGAGACAGACTGCTAGAGGACACTTTAAGAAAGATCAAGGCATTTTATTCCCTAATATCATAGGAAAGAGCAATAAACAGAACAGTAAAACTCTCTTCAGAGATCAAACAGACTTCTGAATGGACGATGGGGAAAGTACTTCATAAGGTCATCAAAGAACGAAAGAGAGAGAAAGAACGAATCCGAAAAGAGCATGAGAGGAAGAAAGAAGAGAAAGAGCTCCGCCATCAACTAGAGACTCAGAGTATTGTGTCGAACCTCTCAAAATGGCTCACTCAGAAGGCATCTGAGATGATCAAGCAGGGTAAGGAGAATGGCCTTTTGAGTAATTTGAATGCAAAGAAGCACTAATTTAAATACTTTCATGTCCTTCTTAAATATTATAAATCCTGGGGTTTTGGGGTTTTGGGGTTTTGGGGTTTTGGGG